TTGTTGCTTACCTTTCTTTTCCTGTCTCTAGATTTCCTCTACTGCATGCTTTTAACATGCTCACATGATTTTGGAGAGGGAAGGATATGAATTACACTGCTAAGCTATAACCTGAGCATGGAGACTACATGACTTAAAATTGTCAGAGAGGGATCTCTGAATTCTACATGCTACACCAGAAAACATGTGCCAGAAGTGATGCAAAGGCGCAGAGAAGCTGTATGAGCAACCAAAACTGCCCTTGTAATTTTCAGATATAATAGTTTTTCAACAGGAGGATAGGAAGCTCCTTGTTTTAGGAAAGTTTTTCTCAGAGGGCATTGTGAGACCTCCTCTCCCCTCCATTTCCCTTTTCCTTTCCTTTGATGACCTTCTCCTCTGGCTAAGGGCTTTATCTACCTCCAGGAATGCTTCCTCTGTTGCTGCTTGTGACTGCAGAAAGCTCTGGAGGACCTCCCTACCTTGAGGAAACAAGGAACAATGACTAGGCAGGCAGCAAAACTCTGACTTCAGTAGGGAAATTATTGTTCAATAATATCCTAAGTAGGATCCTGAAAATTCTTCACTTTTCTGAGAATCCTGCACTGGTACTTTTCTTCCAGTAGCCACAACTTAAAATCTAACCTGTTTAGTGAGCTATGAAAACCCTTTTAAACAGCTTCCTTAGTGCTCCAGTTTCTTCTAAGGATTCCACATACTCCTGTCCCTAACTTACGGACAACCAGATTTATGTCCAGTTTGACAAACATTTCCTTCATGATTTGCAATCCTTTCACAGTCTTTTCTTTTGACTAGAGACTCCTCTACCATTTCTTTTCTATGTTATCCCATTATTGATACTTCAATTTGCAGATCCTACCTCCTCTTCCATGGAGTTTTCCTAAATTTCTTTGTGAATTTTGAATAATAGCCCACTACCCTTAAAACTATGCCATTTGTCACTTGTATCATAAATTACCATTCTATACAAGTATAGATTTATTTCTAAACTCTCAATTCTAATACTGTGTGTTATTTGTGTGTGTATTATTATTTCAATGCCATAGTGTTTTGTTTACTATTGCCCTAATATAAGTTGAAGACTTAGAATGTAATACCTGCATTCTTTTTCTCAGAATTACTTCCACTATCAGGGCCTTTCCTGGTTCCATACAAATTTCATTTATGTTTGCTTTATATCCTCAAGGAAATACATTGGTTTTTTATAGGATTACATTAAATCTCTGTATTACCTTTGATAGGATGGTCATTTTAACAGTGATAACTTCTAATCAATGAGTGTAGCATATCTTTCATTTTTTGGTGTGTTTTCTTCTATTTTTAATTAATAATGATTTATCATTTATGTTGTAGAAGATCTTCATTTCCTTTCTTAAGCTTACCCCTTGGTGTTTGATACTTTGATGTGAATGGCAATATTGGTTTTTGTTTATCAATCAAATTTTAAAAAGATCTTCAACTTTTATATTTATGCTTATTTTTCAGAGAATATATTTTCATTGACTTAATTGATTATTGACCCTGGATATGTGATAAGAAGCTTTCACTGAGGGGGTTCTGATATTTTGTCAGGAACTCAGTGTTAGATATATTAACTCCATCTAAATTAGGGTAACTTATATTTCCGTTTGCTAAACCCATAGAAAGAAAAGTAACAACCTGTTACTTAAACAAGAGACAAATTTTGACACACTAACACTTTAAGTATCAGTAAATGTTGTTCCTAACTGGTAATGTTGGCAGATTGTACATGTATAACCTTGAATTGTCCTTTTCTTATAATTATAGTTCCCAATACTCTTTGCAAATCTTCCATATTATAATATGGATTTATATTATAATATGGAAGATTTGCATATTATTTTAGTAAGTTGATTTTAGTAAGTTGATTTTACTGCATAGCTGGTTTGAGAGCCACTGATGAAGACCATTGGAGAAAGAACTATATATTGTTGATAGATATATGTATGTAGGAAAGTGAACTAATCAGGTTTTAAATACCACTAGTCTATGGCTATCACCTGTGGCCTTTATTGTGTTGATGCAGAAGACGTTTGGGAGTGTGAGTGTGGGGCACATGTACCTGATTGTGGACACCTGTAGTAATGGGTGTGGGCATATGCAAATGTGCACACCTGAGCCTGGAAGCCAGGGACATGAGGGTAGGGTAATTCAGAAAGGACAAATGACCATGGAAGGACAACTTTGAGAGGACCGGTGACTACAGAAGAGAAAAGACCATGAGAGAATGCCAAAGAGAGCCCAGAGGAAAAGTGTAAAGATTTGGGAGAGGGGGCTGGGAATCTCCATTGCTTGCCTGCCTTGCAGCACCTCTTGTCCAGCCTGCCTCCTTGCATTCCATCCTCCCTGCCTCTGGTGCTATGTACCTGATTCCCTGAAAAGGCATTAAAATCTGCAAGATCCACCAAGGGCTCCTTACCTGTCTGCCTGAATCAATAGTGAACTTGCCCTGTGGATGTTTGCACTAGAATATCTTAGAAGAAAACTCTAAACCATATATCAGATGATTCAGAATTGATGCAGACTCATGCTTCCAAGGTAGAAAGGAAGTTACTTAATTTTGCCAGGTTCAATTTTCTTATTTTTAAATGGTTAACAAAGAAGCTGCTACAGGAAAGGGAGAGAGGCACCCCAGAGCCCCCAAATCTGCCTCCTCTAAATAGTTTCTTCTAACCATTGCATCAAGACAAACACTTAATGGAAATGAACTTTAATACAATTAGCATATAACACAGAAAAGACAAAGAATGTAGTTTCCAATCAAGCACCCAAAGTTAGCCGTCCCCTCATGGGTAAAAGTCTACCCAAATGGGACTGGCCCAAAGTAAGTCCTGAAAATCCACCACAAATCTAAAGCACCTTCTGACAGGGACCCATAGAAAAGGGTCAGAAACAGGCAGACAAGTCTGGGAGGAAAAGAGCAAAATCAAAATCAAGATTAACACTGCCATAGTTAACCTCCCCACCTGCCTCTCACACACATCTGTTTAAAGGAGTCCAGGACAAAGAAGGCAAGTGCAGCTTCTTCACATTTCTCTCTGCTCCGTGTACCTCTTCCTGCTTTCTTCCTTCTCAATCTCCTCTCAGACTTCCTCTCCTCTCTGATCGGCTCCACCTTGCCTTGGGTGGGGCAGAGAACCTGGAACCTCCCATTTCCTGGGTATCACACCATTACAAACCATTATTTAGTTTAAAAACAGATTTTTTTTTTACCATACAGTTTCTTCAAATAAAAAAAAATTATTTGCTCCGCTGCTGCAATACAGAAGTAGAAAAGGATACAGGTTGGAAAAGAAAGTACAATGGCATTACTACATAAACTTATCTAATATGCTGTGGGTCTCATTAGTCCCCTATGAAGTTCCAGTCCAGTGAAGAAACACTTTAACAGCTCAACTGTTGAAAGATACATTCTCCCTCTGATGGGAGGGTAGGGGGTATTCAAAGGAATGAAAGGTCCAACTATGCTCAGATTATTAATGTGGATTTAATGACATCAGCCATTTCTCAGCTTTTTTCTTATCATGTAATATTTTATAACACTGCATTAGTATTTTTTAGAATCTAACATATAATCTAGTTCATGTATTCTTTACAAATATAAGTAGAATAAAACAGATATAAAGTATTTTGACCAATATTTCTTCAAAGTGAAGGGTCTGTGAACTTTGTTTGTTGGTACCAAGTATACCTGAGAATAAAGTTTTCTTGGCACATAGACATGCCCATCCTCTTATATCTATGCTGCTGACTGCTTCATGCTAATGGCAGAGTAGAAACCATTGAGAGATTGTATGGCCAATGAGTTACAGAGCCATGGATAGTTACTATCTGATCTTTTTCTGAAAAGAAATCTAGTCTTCTGCTATGAAGACTAGAGCCTTAGTTTTTGGTGAAAAACTTAAAAAAAAAAACTCATCGGAAATAAAAAAAAAGTCTTGTGAGATACATTTTTTTTCCAGATTGAAAATAACTCTTAATTACCTTAAGGCAGAACAACTACTTCCCAGGACTTTCGACAATTAGAATGAAGTCTGCCTAAACCAAATAGTACACAGAACATTATTTTGTTAGTCAAAAGGTCATAAATAATTCCAGTCTCTTTAGGAGAAAATCAGTAGGCTCTCAAGTAAGACCAAGGGGGAAGAAGTGTGAGTAAATCAAGTGAAAGGGATCACTTGTGTGGTAAAGGATAGAATTGTACTTTTTTTTTTTAAGATTTATTTATTTATTTGTACAGAACTGGGGTACAGGCCAGAGATGCGGAGGGTGAGAGGATTCACCAGAGACAGGGCGGGAAGCAGAACAGGCAGATGGACAAGGTACACTGCTGAGGGGAGCAGCGGGCGGGTCAGGAGAGGTCTGCCTCGCCATGTGGTCGCCTCCGGGGCAGGCGGGAATCGAACTCATGCGGAAGTGGCTTTAGTTTCTTAGTGCAGTGCTTTAACCCGCTGCGCCACCAGGGAGGGCCCTAGAATTGTACTTTTAATTGTACTTTTCATGCCATCTACACACATGCTGATTTTTAATGATGCACATAGTAAATTTATATATCAAAATGCAATGGTATTTCCATTCTTTTTGAAGGATTTATTTATTTATGCTTACAGAACTGGGGTACAAGCCAGAGGTGTGGTGGGTGAGAGGATTCACCAGAGATAGAGTAGGGAACAGAACAGGCAGATTAACAAAGTACACTGCTAAGGGAAGCAGTGGGCAGGTCAGAAGAGGTCTGCCACGCCATGTGGGTCAGTTCCCTTGCTGGGAATCAAACTCTTGCTGCAGTGGCTTCAGAGAGCTTCATAATGTGGTGCTTTAACCCGTTGTGCCACCAGGGAGAGTCCAGTATTTCCACTTAAAAAAAGTGGAAATGATAGCTTGAGCTTTAGGATTATAAGACAGCTACTGATTGTTAGCTCAGTATTCTAACATTTCTGTGTTCTGTTTATCTTTGTAAATGGTTTGTGCTACTCAGAAGCAATAAGATTATCATTATATACTATGTTTAGTCCAGTGTAATGAGAGTTCTCATATGTCCTTTTAACATTAGAAGTGGATGAATTAAGCAAGAAGGAAGTACTTCCTTTAACCTATTTCTTAATGATTCAACTCCTACATATGCTAATGATTTCTTCAGTCTTCCTATGGAAATGCTGCCATTTCTAGATCTCTGTATATGATAATTTGCTGTAGCTTGGAATGCATCAGAGAGATTATCCATCTCAATGCCCAGAAATCACAATATTGTTCATAGACCATCCAACATTGAAACAATGAACAAATTGTACATGGTCTTTACTAAGAATCTAGGATCCTTGTTCCTGATATTGGAACTCATTGAACACTTGGAGAAAAAGACAAATAACTATGTCCTAAGATTTTTATCTAAAATTCTGCTGAGTATGCAATTTTTGACTAGTGGTCTTCTGGAATAATTACCTTCTCCTGAGTAGTACTAGCTCATGTTCTTTGCTGTGTTGGCATATTAGTAAATGCATCTTTATTAAACGATTTATGTGTATCTTTTTTAGGAAGATGGGCATGGTTTTAATTGTGGTATTGAATGTCTTTATAAATTTTAAGTCTTATAAAAATACAAGACCTAGTTACTATCAGCTATAGTGATGTTTTTCCAAATTTTAAAAATGCTTGTGTTGTGCCTGATTAAAAGTTACTAGGGAACATTTTTCTTTAGGTCTTTAGCTTAACAAACATTTCGACTTTGATTCTTTGATGCTCCTCTGGAGATTCTGTATCTCATTAGCAAGTCGTTTGCTCTCATTTTGGAATCCTTCATTTAGTAGTCGGGCCTGTTCCTAAAATGACAAAAGCAAACTGAGTACAGCGTAGTATTAAGTAGATCTAACTACTATTTAGTTCCTACATTCATAGACATTTTAATATCTAATTCCTTCTTAAAATTTTCTCTACTCTTTATTTTCATTACACTTTTTCCTGGCCACAGTAGAGCCATGATTACTTTTCTTGAGTCTATTTCAGCGAAGGAAGGTTTTTTACTTGTATCTCCTGATATGTTGATGAACCTAAATTATCAGTCTTTATCTCTTTTCCTATTAGTTCTATGCAATCTTTGGAGCAATATTCATCTGTTTGACTTCAAATTGTATCTATACATTATAGACACTTTCATACACACAACACTTAGCCAGCCACAGAACATAGAAATACAGCATTTTCCATGTCTGATGAAGTGTCTAAATTTTTTAAAATTATGCATAGAAGAACTGGGATGTATGTCAGAGGTGTGGGGGGTGAGAGGATTCACCAGAGACAGAGTGGGGACAGAACAGGCAGATTTATTGAAATGTACTGCTAAGGGGAGCAGCAGGCAAGACAGGAGAGGTCTGCTGCATCATATAGGTTATCCCCCCGGCTGGGGATTCAGCTCAGACAATAAGAGGTGAGACTTAATAAGCACTAAAACTTAAACCCATATGCCACCAGGGAGGCCCCAAAGTGTCTGAATTTTAGATCAGAGAGTTAGATATAAGTATCCACACCTTGGTACCAGAAGTGCAGCATAGAATCAAGGAAATCAGTGTCCCAGGTGGATTGACAAGGATTTTATATTTAACTTTCAACTTAAAACAACAGGGAGAAGACCATGCATGACAAGTAGGCCTGGCAGACTCATACAGGTGTGAAGCTTTAAATGTACTTTATAAAGGTTTTCTTACAGCTAAAGTAGTACCAGGTATGAAGGGGAAAAAAAATCATTGTGGATTCCACTAAGTACTGAAATCAGTTCAGATGTCCTACCTGTGGTATGATCCTAAAAAAGTTATATGTTTTTTTTTTCAACATATTATCTGTTTTTAAATGACTAGGACATTACAGTTCATGTTTCATATCATATTAAGCAAATGATAAAGAGTGTTCTTTTATATATAAGGCCAAGCAGATAACAGTTACCTGTGATTGAGGGACACACTCATAAAGAACTGAATAATTAAAACTGCAAAAAGGTCTTAGGAACCAGACTCAGACAGGGCACTCAGGATGGTTTTTAAGGTATTGAAAAGTACAAGCAGGCAAGCAAGGCCCTGCTTCTGGGCTTCATGTCCTCACTGCCACACTAAGAACTGACCAGGGAAGACTAGAGAGAAGATAGGACAGACACCTGAAGGTGATGCCATTAATTACCTGGAGTTTAAGAGCAATAGTCCTCTCTTGCTCTTGCAGCAGCTGGGCCCTTTCCATTTCCATCTTCTTAGTCAGTTGCCTCACATGTTCCTGATGACTCTTTTCTTTCTGTTCCATCATCTGTTGATTCTTTGTTTGCATTTCCTCTAACATTCTTGCAGAAGCCTCAGCAGCTTCTGCTTTCACATGTTCCACTGTCAGGAGGAAATGAAATAGAAAAAAAGTATGTGGGTAACCATGTTGTCTCTTTGTTCCTTGTGCACTGACCTTTATCATTGCTGCTGACTGCACATGCCCCAGTCAGAAATGACCTCAGCAGTTTGAGGCTGCTGCTCTTGTTATAGTTGAGGACCCCAGATTCAACCAGCCAACTGAGTTTAACTAAGGGATTTTGAGATTATCTGATCTCTTGATTAACTCCTCACCTTCAAGTTCCTTTTCCTTTCCTGTGAGAGTCTGGTCTGTCTGTAGAATGGCAGCCAACACAGATTCCCTGGATGACAAGTATTTCTGAAGAGTCTCTTCAGCCTTAGGACCCAGAGAACAAGGTTAGTGATAGGAAATGTCTGCAAGCACTTGCTCCTGCTGACTTTCTACTCCTGGGCATGTGAACATGGTAGCTAAGAGTCTTGTCACAGGATGGGTGTGTGTTCCAAGCAGGCCAATCTGCTAATCTTACTAAGCAGAATTACATGTAATACATAAATACATTTTATATCTTGTACTATAATATATGTTATATATATATTGCAAATATAAGAATCTTTTCTCACAGAGTGAGGAGTCTAATTTTGGAGCTATAGCACTATGGTCCCAACAGAGTGAGTGTGATAGAAAATGAAACCATCATTTAGAAGGTGTATCAGAGTAAAGAAGGTGGAGGGTAAGTGGAAGGAAGGGGTGTGTGGGTTTGAGGAGGAGTAACAGCAGAGAGGCAGATAATATTATTTGAATTCTTGGACTCGAAACCCATACACCAGTTTGAACCCTAACCCAGTAAGTTACATGTTTGTTCAACCACTGTCACTAGGTTTCTTCCTCTGCAACATTTGGTTCTGGCTGTGGTAGTGGATGACAATAGTCTGGTAGGTCAAGAATCTGATATCCAATTTATAACTCAATCGTGAATTGAGTGCACTTTCTTGGTGAGCACATAGGACATATCTGATAGAGCAGATTCGCTGTGCACATTGATTGAATGAAAGTGTGAATTCTGTGAGCCCTGAATTGCACATCCGTGTGAAATTGCCCTTGATCACATTGGTGTTTCAAGAATGTATGTCACCTTCCCAGAATCAGCAGCTAAATCTAGGTACCTGTATCCCTTTCCCAGGGTGCTGTGAGTACAATTTCTTCAGCTCATTTAATTTCTGGATGTAGCTATGATAGCCTCCTGCTTTAGAAAATGTCCCCTTATTTATATCTTCTTCTAGAGGAGTGAAAATTTCCTGAACTAAAGCTGAGCAGCGTTTTGATGATGCTTGCAAATTCTCTTCACAGAATTTGTCCCGTCTTTGTTCTAGCTTGGCCTAAATGGAAAAATAAGATATGGAATCAATAAGATAAGGTGATATATTGATCTCAGAATTTATGAGAATATAAACTTCTGTTTTTAAAATGAGACCTATGAATGCATGTTGAATAAGTACAGTTCATCATAAAGCAGCAGGAAAGCGCTGAGAGAACACTTTATTTTGCATTTGGCTAGAATATTAAATCTGTATTATAACAAGGAGATGCAATTTGATTAAAAGCCCTGATTGCTACGTATGTGCATTTCATTAAATTATGGGGAAAATGATTAATTTATTCATCAAAAATTATCTCTTTCAGTCCATTATGATAGCCTTGTTTCTTCTTCCTATGATGATAATGAATATTGGTTATTGTCATTTTAATATCTAATAAGTATTGCTTCTCAAAAACCCATCTCATTTTCTAGTAGTACTTTGCTTTCTGGGACCCTAATCCATGTAAACTTGAGGGAAAAAATTACCACTGATTCCTTGTGAAATAAATGATCTACATCTTTGAAGGAGTTCTTCATGAAGACTTCAGTTGCCTCTCTCTCACAGTCCCTGTGCAAGTCCAGAAGCTCCTGGAGGGTTTCCGTGGGCAGCTGTAGTTTTTGGTCCATCAGTTGGTCATAGCAGGCAATGGCCTTTTGCACTGCAGCTGAGTTCTCTATCTGGGCCAAGGCCAGGACTGCATTCTCCATGCAGGGCAGATCCCCATTGCTGATAGCATTGATGTAGGTCACCACCAAATTCTCTAGACCTACAGAGAACAAATGATGATGTTTGCTGTAGATGAAGGTTTCTAATGATGTACTACCACCCTTTGCCTCATAGCATCAGTGTCTCATCAATCTGCCTCTGTCTCAGATCAACTGGATTAGACCCTCCTCTCCCCCACTGCTGACGGCATTGATGTAGACCACAACCAAACTCTCTAGACCTACAGAGAACAAATGATGATGCTTGTTGTAGATGAAGGTTTCTGATGATATGTACTACCACCCTTTGCCTCATAGCATCAGTGTCTCATCAGTCTGTCTCTGTCTCAGATCAACTGGATTAGACCCTCCTCTCTGGTGAGACCACAGGTGATATGTGTATGCACATTAGAGGTGTTGATGTGGTTCTTTCGGTCCTTCTGTCTCTTCTTACCCAAGGAATGTGACTAACACATCCTATAAGGCAGATACTATTTCTAGCTTTAGTCTTATAGTGAGAATAAAGACTGGAAGAGAACTCACGAGTTCCATTGACCAGGATGCCTCCTAAAAGTGTTTTAGTTTTGGAATTGCTGAAGATGTAGTCACAGAATTCTGCAGCTTGTTGCACAAATTCAGATTCCAGGTCATCATCATGCAGAGTCTCGAGTTGGCCTAATTTTTTCCAGTTAGTGGGCCGATCAAAGATAAAGCATTTCTTCTTTGGGAAAAACTTCCGGATACAGAGTCGGGGCAGATTAAAATTTTTATCTTTTTCATTGGTGCCTGGAGGAAGACAAAAAATGTCATATGGAACTATGAATTTTACTGTAAAGGATCACACAGCAAATATTTTAGTTTGCATGGCTTCAGTTACAATAGAAAGTAGCCATTGATATGAGTATCCCCTACTTCTCACAAGTTCTCTTTAAGCCACTTACTTCACTTTTACTAAAGCAAAGTCACACCACTTTTTACTAACCAAAAGTGATCCAAAGAGGATTTTTACAACTATCACAAGAGGCTAATAGTGAAGCTAGTACTCAGTATTGGTCTTTTAGAGACCTGTCACAGAGCAAAGCACACCTGTATAGCATCCCAAGGGCACCGCCCATGTCCTGTCCCTGGAGCTAGCTCAGCTTCTCAGCATCAACCTGTCAAAGCTTTAGGCTCTGTTTGTGCAGGTGTGTGCTGCATCTCAGTAATTTGTGCATTCCTTAGCAAGATGTGTTCTAAGGTATCAGCAAAGCCTAAAATGGAAGAATGCAAGGAGTGCTATTCGACCTTTTCTGCACTAGCCACATCAGCCATAACAGAAGCTAAGCCTCGACTTTGGAACATGGAGGCTGACAGACACAGGAAGAGGTGTAGGCCTTGCTCCAATGAATTCTAAGTACAATGCATTTCTGCAGATGACCCTCTTCCTGTCATTACCGCAGGCCCAGCTTCTGTACCTCCCTCACCCCACCTCTGATGGTTTAGCCTGATAAACCATCACCATCAGCTTTTGGCCTTCCGAGGTGATTGCTGTCTTCTTAGTTCTGATTAGTGAAACTTACTACTTACCCCTGCATTTTATGCATCACATTTCTGCTTTCATGATAGCTTGGTGTTATTTTAGATTTCATGTGTTATTCAGTATGATTTTGTAGGTTAGGTTTTGGATTTGGGGACACTCCAAATTTTTCCAGAAATTGTATTGCAATTGCTTCTATATTATATAAAATGTTGAGTTTGAGAAGGTTTCAGAGGAATGCTAAACTTGATAACAGCAGGATCTTGTCATTTATGGATGGGGACAACATTATTTAAAAAAAAAAAAAAACTTATTTAGAAAGGCTCTGGCAGGCTGGTTTAATCATCGTTTGCCCATGACCACAGAATGCAAAACTCTGGACTACTGCATCGTTCATGCTTGAAACTAATTTTATTCTAAATGTCCATTCCATGTCATACTCTTTGGCTAATTACATTACAAAATGTAAGTAGGGAAGTATTATTAATTTGATCACAGCATAGCAAAATGTGAAAAGAAACTTGTTCTTAGAACAGAGGAGGCATAATTTAAAATTGCTTATTCACATACTAAATAATTATTTCTTAGTAATAATATCTACCTGAGAAGGACTGATACCTATAAAAGTAACAAAGTATTATTAGTAAGCTAAGAAATGAAAGTTTCTCAAGTTTTATCCCTAGAATAAATCCACCAATTGTTAAGTTCCCTTTACCTTTCTTAAGCTTAAGTGAATTCTGCAGGTACTCATCTGGTGTGATGCATTGTCCATCTGCTTCCAAGTCCAGGGAGAAATCCCTCAATGTCCACACAAAGTCTGGAAAGAAGCTCACAAAGTCACCTGAATCCTCACCTTCAGGTGTATCAGGTGAGGCTTTTGCCCTGATTCGATCTGTCAATTCTGTCACATAGCTGAGCAGCTAAGGGAAACTGGCAAACAAGAACATTCCCCACATCCTGTATTAGCACCACAGATTGTAGAACTTTCCTTTTTCTTTCTTCTTACCCAAGTGTGAATTCTCAGTATGTACATAGACTCATCCCCCATACTCAAAGTATTTTTTGGTGAATGTGTATGTGCTGGATCCACCAATGTTTACATTTAGAAAGCTGTTTTTTAGTACAAGTCTCCCCCCTACTTTGACATGTTTGGGATGGCAAAAAGGATACTGCAGCTGGTCCATGGCCTGCTGGTTGATGGTGCCCATGCTGTTGTACACAAAGGTACTGCTCAGGAGGATTGCCAGGGCGAAGATCCAGGAGTCGTTCTGGTTGTCACCCTGGAAATGAGAGCACACTGGGCAGGATTTGGTTTCTCTCTCAGGGCACTTTCCACATTAGCAGTGCCAAATTATGTTCATTCCATTACAGGTGTATTTTTAGGTTTATTATTATTATTATTATTATTATTATTATTATGTTAAGATTAAAGACCATGTTCAGACAAAAATGTTTGTGAGGAGAACATGTACATTAAATAATTTTCTCTTAAATAGTTTTTGTTTGAGACATTTTGTGGGGGTGGAGTGGGGAATGGGATCAAAAACAGTGGGGGGAGGGAAATGCACTGGACTATAGTGATGGCACATGGGTGATTTGGTGATGGGAAGCCCAAGGGGATTGCAACTGAGATGGGAAAATGCACAAAATGATGTAAAAATGAACTATTATATAAAAAAAATAGTTTTTGATTTACACTGATTCTCACTAGGGCCTATTTGGACTTTGGAGGATAATTGCAAAAGAAGTTGGCAAGATTAGTGGTCATTCTAAGACCTTCAGTAGCAAGAATTTTCTCTTTTTTTAATGGTATAATTGATATATAAGAATGATAACACTGCTATTTACTTAGCAATTATTTTGTACCTGTATTTTTAATTTATTTCCCTTAGTACTATGTGGCACATTTAGACATGCTAATTCTCCATTACAAGTCAGGCAAATATGGATCCATTACATCTGTCAAACTAAGTATGAGAAAAATAAAGATCTAATAGGTCTGTTTTCCAAATTTTCAACTGATATTAAAAGAAGTAAAATAATTTTCTCAAGCTACTGAGTTAGTGATATAGTTTAAATTGAAGTAGTAAGATTTGGGACCAAAAGCCTTCGCTAAAGTTCTCTGCTGTTTAAGCCTAATGAAATTTATTTTACTTATACCATGTGTATGCAACTGTGTTATCTGGTATTGTTTTATACCATGTGTATGCAACTGTGTTATCTATTATTGTTTTAATTCGAATACAGTACTAACTATGCTTTTCTGTATTCCCCCGACCCATGGTTGCTAAACTTGTTCTCATGGCATGTGAAGAGAAAGGAAAATAGTATTATGGTTGAGTGTATGTTCTTATTTAAGGAAAATTGAAATATGGTAGAGAATATTCAGAGATGAGGGGTTTGTTCCCAGGTTGAGTCCTCACCCCGTACCTTCTCCACATCTCCTAAGCCCTCAGTGTCCAGAAGAACTAGGGTGTGATTTGGCTTCTTGGGATGAGGCACACACCACATCCAGATCCCCTTGGTGTGAGATTGCACTGTGGAGCCTAGGGAGAAGCCTTCAGGGGAGAATTGAGATAAAAAATAAAAAGTGGGTATTTAATGGGAATGGGATCTGTAAATCAAGGATTAGGAGAGAAAGTTGATATCAGTCATTATTAATCTTACCTGCATCATAGAATTGGGTAAAATAGAATATTCACTACATGAAACAATTTCACATGTTTTTGTGGCAGAAATAATCAACCCAAAGCATAGAGAAGGAAATTATTTCAAAATAATAAAACAAAAATTAAAAACCTACAGAGAACATCATACTCAATAGTGAAAGACTGAAAAATTTCCTGCAAAAAAAATTTATGCAAATGTATATAATACCTACATATGGGCGTAAAAACTGAAAAACTGGTAGTGGAAATCACAGGAGCATTGCTTTAGCATATTGGTTATGGCAATGATTTCTTGTTATATGACACCAAAAGAATACAAAAGCAATGGAAAAAATCAGACAAATTCAACCACATCAAAACTAAAACTTTTATGTATTAAAGGACATTACTGGAGCCTCCCTGGTGGCCTAGGGTTAAGCCTTAGCACTGTCACCACTTAAGTTTGAGTTTAATCCCTGGCTGGGGAACTAACCCACATATGGCTTAGCAGACCTCTACTGTATCACCAGCTGTTCCCTTTGACAATGTATTTCAACAAATCAGCCTGTTCTGCTCCTCACTCAGTCTCTAGTACTCCCCTACACCTGAGTTATTCTAAGCAAACAAATAAGTAAAAATAAAGGACATTCTATGGCCTACACCTGAGTTATTCTAAGCAAACAAATAAGTAAAAATAAAGGACATTAACAACAGTGAAAAAGGTAACCTGAAAAGGGGAGAAAATATTTGCTAGCATGATTCTGTTAAGGGGCTGATATCCAGTGCATGTAATGATGTCCTCTAACACAACAGACATAAAACACAAACCAGTAAATAACTGAAGCACTTGAATAGATAATTCTCTAGATAAAATATGCAAACAAACAATAACACATGCTCAATGTCACCAGTTACTAGGGAAATACAAATCAAAACCACAGTGAGATACTTCTTACTATTTATTAGTATGGCTAATATACAAAAACAAGCAGAGATTAAAAGTTATTGGTGAAGATGGGAAGAAAGTAAAACCCTTATGTATTTCTGGTAGGGATATAAAATGGAACAATTGCTATAGAAAGTAATACGGTGATTTTAAAATAAACTGAATATCAAGTTCCCATATATTCCAGCAATTTCTTTTTTAGGTTTTTACCCAAAAGAAGTGTAAGTAGGTTCTTCGACAGATAGTTGTATACCTGATTTCTTAGCAATATAATTCTAATAGCAAAAAATGGGAATAACTCAATGACTGCTGACAGATAAAATATTGCTATGCATATACAACAATGTAGCCTTAAAAAAGAGTATAATTTTGACACATTTTACCACAGTGGTGTAACAGATGTTATTTATGAGATAAGCCAGTCATAGCATGACCAGAAAAAAAATGATTCCTATTATAAAAGAGCAGAACAGTGGCCCTCCCTGGTGGCGCAGCGGGTTAAAGCACAGCACTGAGAATCTGAAGCCACTTCCGTATGAGTTCGATTCCCGCCTGCCGCCTGCCCCGGAGGAGACCACATGGCGAGCCAGACCTCTCCTGACCCGCCCGCTGCTCCCCTCAGCAGTGTACTTCGTCGATCTGCCTGTTCTGCTCCCCACTCTGTCTCTGGTGAAGCCTCTCACCGCCCCTGAGCCTCTGGCCTGTACCCCAGTTCTGTATGAATAAATAAATCTTTAAAAAAAAAAAAAAAAAGAGCAGAACAGTTATTTTCACGGAAACATAATATTGAAAGGTGGTTGCTAACCTCTAGGGAGTAATTGTTTAATGGGTGCAGAGTTTATGTTGGAGAAGAGGCAAAACTTATGAATATAATTGTGAATTTACCTAGTGCCACAAAAATGTACACTTAGAGTTGCAATGGTAATTTTTTAAAGTACATTTAAAAACAGTAGATAAATATCCTTTTCAGATTTAAACAAGTTTTCAAGCATCAGTGGAAAATTGTTCTTACTACACAAACATTTCAGTAAGCACTTTATTCTTTATCACTTTATTCTTTATCACTTTATTCTTTATCACTTTATTCTTTATCACTTTATTCTTTATCACTTTATCACTTTATTCTTTATCACTATTTTTATTACTGCCTGAGTCTGTGTAAGAAAGGAACAATTTATGCTTTCAAAAGGTACTAAGTCCAAATGGGAAGAAAGATGAGCTCACTTTATAGCATATTAAAGATAAAGATAAAAGCATCACTATGGATCAAAAGTTATCTTCCAACCTCTTTCCCCATCTCTCATGTCTGTCCTCACGGCACCATCCTGAATGTTGGTCATATAGGTGGACAGGGGAGACTTTGACAGAGCGTTGGTGGTATCACTCACCCCTTCTCTTGCCAGCCAGCTTGTTCATCAGGTAGGATTTGCCTGTGCGGTAGAGACCCACTATAGCCACGACGACCACAGGCTGTGTAATGGCAGACAGGATCTCCAGAGCCTTCGGATTGGCCAACAGCTGGTTTTGAGCATTCTCTATGAGGCACACTGGTTCTGACATGTGCATTTCTGAGGTCATGTTGGGGATATTCCTGTGTCTGTAAGGGAAGAGATGGGGTGAATTAAATTTTCAGTCTAAGTAGCTCAAGAGTACGTACCAGGTTATTGGCATTCAGAAGATAATGTTTTAGATTCTTCAACATGGTGAAATGCCTTTTGTTAATTTTGGATAGATGAGGGCACATCTGTATCATTTTAGAAAGTTGTGAAAGTTTATAGCATTTTATTATTTATTATTATTATAGAAGTTTGGTTTTGAAAGATATAAAAATATACTTTTTATATTTGTTAATGGTAAAATGATTGGCTGGTTTTAATAAACATTAGGGAATGAGTAATCAGATTCTCTTTTCAGGTCAGAAACTGGCAAGAGAACAATTGTCCTATTTAATAACCTTGAATCTGGTTTTTATATAAGTAAGGTCGCTCTAGAACCCTAGGTTACATGTTAGATTTTATTTATCTTGCATACATATAAGGTATTGGTATGCATATCTTTCCCTATAATATTAGGATATATTCAATTATTGATTGACATTAAATAGTAAAATAAAATTTACTAAATGTGCGCATGATAAACTGGTACAAAGGGTGAGATAGCATGTAAAAGCTGCCTCAGGTTTTTTGTAATAGAACTCTAATATGCTTTGTAAAAACTAGTTTGAAATCTAATTTAAAATCTGTTTTAGGGGCTAAGAGGTCAAAAAGATTAAAAAAATACATTTCAATGGCACATACAATAGAAGTACATTAAAATCATTACAGTAATACTGAGTCTTCTGCCCACTTTCTTGTTTATAGACAGCTGTGTCCTCCCATGTTGAAGGTGCATAAAGGTTCCCCTAAGTTTTTTTAATATGTAGTTTATTTTTACATCATTTTGTGCATTTTTCCACCTCAGTTGTAATCCCTGTGTACTTTCCAACACCAAATCACCCATGTGCCATCACAATGGTCCAGTGCATTTCCCTCCTCCCATTGCTTTTGATCCCATTCACCACTCCACCCCCATAAAATGTCTCTGCTATATAGCTGCTCATTATTATTATTATTATTATTATTATGCTGCGCCATGTGGATCTCCTCTGGGGCAAGTGGGGATTGAACTCGTGGGGAAGTGGCTTTAGCTTCTTAGTGCTGTGCTTTAACCCGCTGCACTACCAGGGAGGACCCAGTTTTGAATTTTTTAAAAAGATTTGTTTATTTATGAATACAGAACTGGGGTACAGGCTGGAGGTGCAGGGGTGGTGAGAAGATTCACCAGAGGCAGAGTGAGGAGCAGAACAGGAAAATAAAGGAACTACACAGCTGAGGAGAGCAGCAGGTGGGTCAGGAGAGATCTGTTGCGCCATGTGGGTCACCTCTAGGGTGGGGATCGAACTCAGGCTGAAGTGGCTTTAGCTTCTTAGTGCTGCACTTTAACCCACTGCACCACGAGGGAAGGCCTTCAGTTTTCTTTTCTTTTTTTTTTTTTTCATTAATTTTCACTATAAAGAAAGAATCAGGAATAAATGTCTCTTTATTTAATATATACTTATGGACAACACACAGATATTTTAAATATGCTTCTCCCCCCCACCAAAATCAGTTAAACTTATTTAGCTGGAATTAGGGTTCTTAGAACACCTCATCCTACTGTTCCAGAAATGGAACTGAATTTTTCAAATATCACAAAAACCTGCACATGTATGTTTATAGCAACTTCATTCATAATTGCCAAAACTGGGAAACAACCAGATGATCTTCAACTGATAAATGAGTAAATAAACTTTACTACATTCCCCAATGGAAGAATATTCAGTGCTCATAAGAAATGAACTATTAAGTGGTCTTAAGTTATAAAGAAGGCCTATGATATATAAATACGTGGGGAAAAAATCTAGAATCACACATACTCTAAGAGCACAACTGCGTGACTTCCTGAGGAAGCCATAAAGAACTCAGTGAACTCAGTGAAAGAATTCGTGGTTACCTGTGTTATGATAGAGGATTTTTGGATTTTTAGAGTAGTGAAAATACTGTGTATGGTATTGTAATGAAGGATACATGTTATTTGACTTTTCCCCAAATGCACTGAATGTGCAACAGTAAGAACAAACCCTTCAGTAAACCCTGGACGTTGGGTGACTACAATGCTCAGCCTAGTTTTTTTGTTTGTTGTTTTAAGATATTATTTTGGTTACTTGAAATGTTGAAAACAAGGAAGACCATATATGTATAAGATCAAGGATTATATAAAAATCTCCCTATCTTTCTCTCTATTTTATTATAGATCTAAAACTTTTCTTACAATTTTTATTTTTTTTAGAAAAGGCAACAAAAGAAAGTTGACATTGTCTTGATTATTTATAGTATTCAAAATTATTATTACAAATTTTTATAGATGATATTATTGTGGTTATTTTTTTAAAGATTTATTTATTTAGGCATGCAAAAACTGGGGTACAGACCAGAGGTTTGGGGAGGGGTGAGAGGATTCACCAGCAACAAGTGGGGAGCAGAATAGGGAGACCAACTGAAAAATACTGCTGAGAGGAGCAGCGGGTGGGTCAGGAGAGGTCTGCCACAATCATGTGGGTCAGCTCCCTGGCTGGAGATTGAACTTGTGCTGAAGTGGCTGTGGATAGCTTCAGAGTACTGCGCTTTAACCCATTGCACCACCATGGAGTTCCCTGATTATATTTTTAAGACAAGTTCTAATCTTTTAGATTAAAACCTCAAATATTTGTGGGTAAAAAGAATATGATATTTGGAATTTATCTAAACATTTGAAGAAGAGAAAAAAATATCCAGAGAAAGTGCTGTTTGTTGAAGCTGATACTACTTTGTATAAATTTAAAATTCTTCCAAACAATGCTTTTAAAATTTTTTAAAGTATATACATATGACTATATGAAACACATATCCAGAGATTCTTCCAGTGTCTTGCTATGAACTTGTGTAAGCAAGAGATCCTAAACTTATAACTCCATCAATTTCCTTTAAATTAGCCTCCAACTAAATGGGATTATAACTGCATAGTTATAGGTTATAACTGCAAATACTGAATGTTCCTAAGATAATGCTTGTGCAGATATGTGAGTGAAAGTGAATAAAAGGCTATGAAATAGTGTTGAAAAGATCAGGAGACAGATCAGGAGAGCTAGAGATGGAGTAAGTAAATAAATATTTATGTTTCCAGCCACACTCAGTTTTCAGTTATTTTCTTTCTTTTTTCCCCTTTTGTAAAAGAGAAAAAGAAGCATGAGGGTGAGGTGTGGGGAAGGGGGAGAAGGGCAAAAGGAGGTGAAAAGGAGAGAGAGAGAACTGTTAGACAGTAGGTGATGAATGTAGCTAGTGCCAAACAGGGAACTCAGGGAGGAGGTTCCAGAAGACGGATCAAACCTGCTGGAGAGCACTGAGAGCTCATGCAAAGATGCTGCCTTTGTGATGTATCATCACCACAGAGTTTTTAAAGAGAAAACTGTTTAGTAAAGTTGTGAGGTTCAGTTCTAGTTGCAAGGGGCAAAGAATGAGTTGGCACATCGTGGCAAGTTTCATCACAAAGCATTGTAGTTAGTCTTTAGTCAGCACCGGCAATGCTAGCAAAGAGAAAGACACTCCTGGTACTTTTATTTCAGCCTCTTAGTACCTGTTGCACCTGCTGCTGCCCAACTCCTCACCAGCACTAGCCACGGCTGGGACATACCTTCACCTCATAACTTCCCCCCTCTTTTGTCCCATGTTAGGCTTAGCTGCTGTTTATCTTGGTTCTTCTCAGGTTTTGGAAAACAAACTGAACATCAAAATCCTTTCCATTTTGTCCCAACCTCATCTTGGGCTCCAGTTCCCAGAGAAAAGCTCCTTTGGAGCTGGAAAGAAAGTTTGACTTAGTGAGGGAATAGTAGATCTTACCTTTTTTTTTTGCTCAGTTGAGGTAGAGTGATTTCTGTGTCCTTTCACTGGATGGTTAGAGGCTGGACTTTTATGTTACCCTCCCTCTGTCATGTGGATCTCTGGATTGCCCTCAGAGACCAAGTAACTAAAAGTACAAGCAATTTTTAATGATTTAGAGTAATATGAAACTGAAAGTACAGGGGACAAAGCAGTGAGTCAACAATCAAAACAGGAAATTCTGGAAGCTGTGCTAGCAGCAAGTACATGGGTTTTACATGATTTCTCAACTAAAATCTTCCTTTTTTTTTTTTAAGAAAATATCCATGATATGAGTGTATCTCCCATTTCATATTAGAGTAATATGAAACTGAAAATACAGGGGACAAAGCAGTGAGTCAACAATCAAAACAGGAAATTCTGGAAGCTGTGCTAGTAGCAAGTTACATGGGTTTCACATGATTTCTCAACTAAAATCTTCCTTTTTTTTTTTTTTTTAAGAAAATATCCATGATATGAGTATATTTCCCATTTGAAGGTCAACTTGAGAAGCATGTGTTAGTGGGCAGACTGATGACACTTGAGGGACCCTGACTGCACTCTTGAAGGGATTCTGCCATCTTCCCCATGAAGAAAAATCAACTCTTAGAGTAGGCAACCTTTAATAGAAATTTGTACATAGAGAGGGAAGAGAAGAAAGTGCAATTGTTATCTACCAAAAGTTACCAGTCCCTTCATGGACATGGGTAAATTTCCAACTGAACAGGGTTGGTCTGAACCTGAGACCCAAAGGCTTGCCACACTGAAAGGCATCTTCTTGACCCCTTATAAAGGGGAACCATATGAAAAGGTTGAAAGGGGCCAGACAAGTCTTAGATGAAAGGAGCAAAAGCAAAGTACAAATGTAAATAAAAGCCTGCAGTTGTCAGCCCTCCCACATTTCTCTCACCCCTGTGTCCCTTCCAAGTGTCTCTATATGTTTTGACTCACTGTGTCTCCTCCAAGTCCCTCAAAGAGAGACTTGTCTGCCAACTCAGGAACGCCCAGAACCTAGTACTTATAATCGAGGCAGTCAGAAGAGGGTGCCATGTATTACTCTGTGTTGCAGGTTCAGTGCAGACTGCTTTACCTGAGTCACATGACTCATATCTCACAAGCATGACCCTCGTGATTTTA